ACATGTGAGATAATTTTTTCCTTCTCAGGCCACGTTTTGTCCCGTCCTCCTCATGCCTGCTTCCTAAAAGATGAAGATGATTTCATCTGTTTTAAATTGGTTGTGATCCTCATATGAGCAGCTATTTTAAGCAGCGGCTTTAACAACGTTAGGCGTTGAGGTTCTTTGTAGGGAGCGGGTCGACTGGGCTCTGTTCATTGTTCCTGCTCCGATTCTGTCAGTAAACATCTGTAGCGGCTTAAAGGCGACGCATCCGACTGATCTGAGAGAAAAACTGCATCTTCTGTCAATTTAGACGCTTGTGGCATTCTTTTTAAGAATTTCTACTTGGTGCAAAAACGAGTTTGATTGAAGAAATGCATTTAGGCAATTAATCTTTTAATGTTTAAAACTGTGTTTGTTCTATTTAAGTGCTGCCATAATTAGATCTATAGATAAATAAACTAACACGCAGCCGATGCTTAGTTGGGTTTGATTACAGACCTCTATTAGGAATCCAATTAAGGTCTTTTTTTCAGATATAATGATAGAATTACAGGTGAAGATTCTCAGTCATCCAGGTCATTCTAAAAAAAAGGTCATTCCAGGTCATTCTAAAAAAAAGGTCATTCCAGGTCATTCTAAAAAAAGTTAAAAGGACTTTGTTTCAAAGTTTGAGTTCGAGGAAGCTTTTTCAATTCAGAATTTCAGAATTAGCATTAAGTTCAAAGTTTTATAAAGTGGCTTAGAAAATATGCAAATTCAGCCAGAAGAATGGGTCCGCCGCTTTGGAATGAGGAGTCGTTTTGGTTCTTAGATAGCCTGCAATACCAGATACTGGTCTATGCCTCTGAAAGAGGTGTCGTTAGGGGCAATTGTTGATCTGGTTGTCCAGATGAGATGTTTTGGTCCACTCCATGGGGGGTGGGGCTTGAGATGATAGCGGGAAGGAATCAACTCAGCCAATATGCCTGCTTATCTCTTTGATTCACAGCAGATAAAGAAACTGGAAACAAAGAATATATCAGATATAAATGCAGCCATTAAAATGTCTTTCTTCTCCAGAAAACGAATAGAAACTAATAAAACAAAATACTGATTCCTTTAGGGCAGGGGTCTTCAATGTTTTCCAGGCCAAGAACCCCCAAACAGATGGCAATATGGAGCGGGGACCCCCCTTATTATATATAGTATTAAATTGTGTTATATCAAACTAGTCCTATAGTCACTATTACTGATGGACTCATGTAACGAAAGTAATTTTGCCCCGTTATTATTAAAGTATTTCTGATTCTGATTCCTGGTTGATGGGACAGGTGTGAATGAAACGGTGTCCAGCTTGAAAGAGCTCCTTTGTGTCTGAATGTGTGCATTGATGACTGAAAGACATCTAATGCCTCCATTTACCTGTTTACTACAGTGTGTTAAATTCATCTTAATGTGGATTTAAATACATTTCAATTAATGGAAAAATTGCAGGGGGGAATGAATATATATATATATATATATATATATATATATATATATATATATATATATA